CTCAATTGTACTTATCATCAGCCAAAGAGCTATGTCTATATAATAGAGGCTCAATTGTACGTATCATCAGCCACAGAGCTATGTTCATAGAGGCTCAATTGTACTTATCATCAGCCACAGAGCTATGTCCATATAACAGAGGCTCAATTGTACTTATCATTGGCCATAGAGCTATGTCCATAGAGGCTCCATTGTACTAATCATCAGCCACAGAGCTATGTCTATAGAGGCTCAATTGTACTTATCATCAGCCATAGTGCTATGTCCATATAATAGAAGCTCCATTGTACTAATCATCAGCCATAGAGCTATGTCCATAGAGGCTCAATTGTACGTATCATCAGCCATAAAGCTATGTCCATAGAGGCTCCATTGTACTTATCATCAGCCATAGAGCTATGTCCATATAAAGGAAGCTCCATTGTATTTATCATCAGCCATAGAGCAATGTCCATATAATAGAGGCTCAATTGTACTTATCATCAGCCATAAAGCTATGTCCATATAATAGAAGCTCCATTGTACTTATCATCAGCCATAGAGCAATGTCCATATAATAGAGGCTCAATTGTACTTATCATCAGCCATAGAGCTATGTCCATAGAGGCTCCATTGTACTAATCATCAGCCACAGAGCTATGTCCATATAATAGAAGCTCCATTGTACTTATCATCAGCCACAGAGCTATGTCCATAGAGGCTACATTGTACTAATCATCAGCCATAGAGCTATGTCTATAGAGGCTCCATTGTACTAATCATCAGCCATAGAGCTATGTCCATATAATAGAAGCTCCATTGTACTAATCATCAGCCACAGAGCTATGTCCATAGAGGCAACATTGTACTAATCATCAGCCACAGAGCTATGTCCATAGAGGCTACATTGTAATTATCAGCCATAGAGCTATGTTTATAGAGGCTACATTTGTGTGTAACATACAGACATCAGATAAATTAAACATAGACTGTTAGGGTTTCCTCATTTGATATCAGACTGTGTTAATCCTGTAACATGGAACTCCAAGAGACATCAGTTGTATGTTATCTTTGTTGGTCTACAGTCATTCACATGATGTTTATGAAAACTTAGCAAGCAAGTTGATCAGTTCCAGTGACAGTAATTACCCACTGAAGGGACAAAACTCATAGTTTGTAAATAATCCCATCTGTCTTTAAAAGAACAAGATGAAATGTTTTATGTGTATTTTCTATTAGCCCTGTTTATGTATACAGGCTCATTTTTACAAAGAAAACAGCAATTAATCTTGACTGTAAACAAACATTTTCTTGTCAACCTTTTCAGGTTAACTATTCAGAATCAGAGGTTAACTGAAAGAAAACAGGTTTCATACCCTAATATATTCAATGAGGTTCTCTGTTATTTTTGTGGGTGTTTGTTTGTTTGTTGTTTAACACCTGCACACACAGCAATATTCCAGCTATATGACAGCGGTCTGTAAATAATCGAGTCTGGACCGGACAATCCAGTGATTGACATTATGAGCATTGATCTACACAAATGGGATACAATGACATGCATTAACTAAGTCAGCGAGCATAACCACCCGATCCTGTTAGTTGCCATTTACAACAGCATAGTCACCTTTTACGACAAGCATATGGTTGCTGAAGACCTATTCGAACCCGGATCTTCATGGGTCGTTATTTTTCTGAGAAAAGAAGATGTTCTATGTAGACAGACAAACATTTAAATGAATGCATAAATGAGTAATTCAAAAAGACAGAAAAACAGACAGATAAATCAATATATTAATGATACTCAGGAATGGCAAGAAAAAAAATGAATAGGCATGGGTAGAACTAGTGAATGGTTAAAAGGGTGATAGGCTTAATGACCCTACCACAATCATCATATTAAGTGCCCAGTGTTTCCAAGTGTTGACACTTAGTAAAGACTACCAAAGTCCCCAGGAAACTAATTTCTTTTCATTTTCATCAGCTGTTTAAAAAATGTTAGGCAGGAGGCATTTTTGTTTGGTTGGACTACATACACTTAGTGACTACATTAATCAGATGAAGCATGAATGTTTGGTTGGACTACATACACTGAGTGTATTAATAAGATGAAGCATGAATGTTTGGTTGGACTACATACACTGAGTGTATTAATAAGATGAAGCATGAATGTTTGGTTGGACTACATACACTGAGTGTATTAATAAGATGAAGCATGAATGTTTGGTTGGACTACATACACTGAGTGTATTAATAAGATGAAGCATGAATGTTTGGTTGGACTACATATACTTAGTGTATTAATAAGATGAAGGAAGAATTCAGCACACATAGTGTAGTCTCTTGCAGACAATGAACTGATGTGCGGCAGGGTGTTTGGTTGTGAAGTGGACGCGGATGACAATCTGATTTTGTTGAACTGTGGAGGAGGGTGCTTTAAATGCTTCGAATATGCGATCTTGAAATAACAGAATCAACAAGAGTGAGTGAGTGAGTTGGGTTTATCGCTATTTTAATAAGTATTCCACTTATATCACTGCATATGGTGCTGAATACATGAGGAGAACAGTAATAGCTGCTGGTCAGAGAACATAGGTCATTGTTATACTGTTGAGCAGTGCTCTTTAACCGTTAATGACTGGCCATAAAGTGAGTGTTGAAGCCATGCCATGACATGTGCCAGCTTGCTGGATCTTCCATGCAGTGTTTATGGTAATAACTGGTCCCAGTTTGTGGTTTACCATTGAAAGTTAATGTAGGTTGTTGAACACTAGGTTTATGTTTAATGCTGTATGGTATGAGACACCACCATTGGTAATGCTTAATGAGAAGAAAAAGCCTTTGTATTGTACAGAAATGGGCTTGACACTGATTCTGTTGATAAAACAAACAGACATGAAATGTGCCTTATGTTGTTCCTACACAGACAGTGACACATCTAAACTGCGGGATATATAGAAGTAAGTCTTTATGTGGAGCAGTCACTGGAAATACTTGAGGTTTGTTTCTATGGTGACACATAATGAAGACTTCCTGATGATGATCAAATTACCAATTCTTATAATAATGATGATTGGCCAAATACTGAGAAGACTTAATGGGTCAGGTGAAACTTGATGACCTGGTTTGAAATTGTGTTATTGTGCCCTGATTGTTGCTCATAATATCAGTCACTGTTTTTATGGTCAATTATTTACAGGGTGCCAACATATAGCTGTAATATTGCTGAGTGCAGCGCTAAACAACACTGTCTGTATTTGGGTTATAAAGTTGTCTGGATTATGTCAACAATGATGTAGGTTCCTGATAGTACATGTGCTCTTTGGATGGATTTTTATAAACTCACTTATCTTAAACCTTATGGTTAATTCAGTTCTTCAGCTCATATTGATAACCCTATCCTAACATAACAGTAAACACACTAATATGTGAATAGCCAACCACACTAAAGCTGTCATAAAATACCAATACAAAATGTGATAACCAGCCACAAGAAATAAGATTCTTTGTGTCTGCAAATAGTGAGATATTATCTTATGTTGATACACTTGAGTTCATGTAGACAGATCCTATCTTAGCATAACAGTAAACAGACTTATATATGAATAACCACTACACAACAGGACACAGAATATGATAATAAAATGTCAGAAACCTCTTAACAAAATCCATGTATAAATATTTAATAAGACAGGGAACAAACAAAATACCTGTTTTATGCTTAAATTATAAATTTCATTTTGATATACAACATCAATAAATTAATATTGTCTCCATCTTAATTCCAATCTATATCATGTACCATTAGGAAATGCCTGGTAGAAGATGGATGTTGTCCTGGCAGTAACCTGTAACATTAACGTGAAGTACTCTGGATTGCTCAACAATGCAAAACACGTGCTAATGATCTAGAAGGCGCCACTTCCGATAACAATCTTTGTGTTATCAGGACAGACGCAATATGCAAAAAACGTGACGTCATGTGACCATGTGGAAGCATGGCTTTGGTGGTGAAGTCATGCCTCACTTGTTAGAGAGTGAGGTTATCCCAGGTTTTGGGTGTTGCCTCAAGCAAAACTTAAAGAGCTTTGAATTTCATGTTGTATTTTATTGTGGAATGAAAGTTTATTGCCTAGAATCACAATGAGTTATGTGTCCGTTGTATGTATTCATGATATATTGTTGCAGATATATTGTATGTAGAGTCTGTGTGATGAAAATGTTTTTAGTAAATGAAACACTTTTTGTCTTGTTATCATCTTATTCTAAAAGTTGCGGCAACAGCTTCTGTTGATTAGCCTTGGTTGATGCATGTCATCGTATCCCAAATGCACAGATCGATGCTCATGATGTCAATCACCCGATTGCCTGGTCCAGACTCGATTATTTACAGACCGCTGTCATTTTGCTTGAGTATTGTGTGGCGTTAAACAACAAACAAACAAACAAAAAGTAAAGGAACTACACACAAGAATACAATGTGCAAAGCCCTGGGATTGAATATCAATAGCCCCTGTAGTGATATGGTTTTCCTATTTCTAATACTGCCTCATAACGGTGTAATGTCCTGCCCACTTACACTAGTAAATCATTTCTTGGCCTGGGTACTGCAGTTGATGACATATTCACCTATTGTCCCAACATTGCATATTTTGTTTATCTCAATGACTACTCTCTCCCTTCGTTATGGTGAGCTATGGGGTTCCCTGTACTGGATGTGGTGTCTGACTTCCTTTGTACATGATCAAGATGATGTTGTGAACCAACTCACTCACTCCTACTGACAATGCATTCTTCCATAGTTGTATATAACTCTTGTTTATGATTCATGTTTGTTCATAGAGCTGTAGTGTACGATTCATAGTAGTCTAAAATGGTGGTTCATGATTCATGGTTGCAGAGAACGGTGGTTCGTGTTTCATGGTTGTATAAACCTGGTGTTTATGGTTCATGGTTTTCTAAAATGGTTCATGATTCATGGTTGTATAGAACTGTGGTTTATAATTTTATTACATTTTCAGGTTCTGCATGGAATTTTGATGATGACACAGATTCTACAGCCTCATCAGAAACTGTGACGACCGGCTCCGACGACCCATCAACATCACGGACACCACAGTTGTACTACACAACACCTCCACGAGCAGTAAGTCTGCTATAGTATTCACTGCATACATCAACACCCGTGGTGCTTATCAACCCATATCAAACCTCCCCACAAATTGCCTTGGCTTCATGAACTCTTCCTGCAGCATTATTAATTGGCTGGCAGCACTGGGTGTGTGTTCTGACCCCCATGTGATGGACTGATGATTATGGCATCAGTGACATGTAGAGCCATAACTTTCTTTTAACCCTATGGAAACATTTTCATGATATCAAAGTTACTTCAGTTTTTGTTACTAGTGTTTTGATCCCAGTATAATTTAATAACAAATGTCCGCCAGCTACTTTGTCCTAATTCCAATAAGAGTATGATGAGAAATGGTTGGCCTTATCCTTCACTGTCGTTGTAATCAGCAGTCTAGTCATTAAGGGTGAATCCCATGCTGCACTAAGTCCTGTAAACTTGTTCTGAATCCTTTAGGATCCCAGATTCTGCCTAAGCATGATCCTTGACCTGTCAAAGTGGCCCCATGGGTTTCAGCATACTGGTAAATGCCTGCAACCTGCATCATATAGAGCTTCCTCCCATAGCAAGCTGACATGTCATGGTGTAACTGTAACACTTTGTTGGACCCAACTCACTCATCTGATTCTGTATCAGTATAACCTTGAGACGACCTCTATACAGGGTAGTGCATGTGGGTTTCACCAAAGTGCTTTAAAACAACAAGACCCTGTATCACTTCAGGCTTTCTTCACACTGACTGAAATACAGTTCTAAGTGGTGTTAAACCAAATTCACTCACTCTATTCAGGGTAAAATTCCTTTCAGGAATTCAATATCTAAGGACATCATGAATTCGTATCATCTTTCAGTTCTTATTCATTTTGTATTCATTTTATTTTAGACAGTTCAAGATAACAGTTTTTGTTCATTTCATTTTAATAACAGTTCAAGATAACAGTTTTTGTTCATTTCATTTTAATAACAGTTCAAGATAACAGTTTTCATTCATTTCATTTTAACAACAGTTCAAGACGACAGTTTTTTATTTTTTTAATTTTTACAACAGTTCAAGATAACAGTTTTTATTCATTTCATTTTAACAACAGTTAACAACAACAGTTTTTATTTATTTTATTTTTACAACAGTTCAAGATAATAGTTCAGATATTGATTTTATCTATTCAATAGATACCTGCCCATTCACTGCAATGGCATCACTGGTGTGTCACTTAATGTCATATATATCTAATGAGGTATTGACCAGGTAAACATACTTCAGTCATCTGAGTGACTTGCCACCTATCTGTTCTTTGAAACAATCCCTCTTTACTCTAGAAGAGCCTCGAAACTGTCAATATCGGCCCCATTCTTTCAGATAAGACGTTCATTTCTGTCACTCATACCCTGAGCCGTGACTGGTGTACAAGCTGGTTGGTTGATATCGTTACTGGCTGCTGTTATGGGTGCCCCTTCACCTTTCGTGGGGGAGCAGGTTTTGGCACGTTAATTAGCCTTTCGTTGTTCCTAGCATACTGATCTGGGATAACACCCGAGACCTGACCCACTCTCCCACACTCAGTCATAGACGACCTCGTCATGCCTGTGTATAGGTAGATTGCATTAACCTACCTGTGCTCAACAGGTAAATTTGCATTCTTTAACTTGGGAATTTTGCTTGTGATGTGAGAATGTGGTCTTTGATCTGACATGTGGACATGAAATATTTCCTGATGGAAGTCAATATGGTGTTGCAGTTATTCATACCTGTATCTTCATGAAAGGTGGAACTATCGAGAACCACTCAGGCAATTCAAGACATTCCATGGCATTCTAGATGTAAAACCTGAACACTGACATAAAAAGAGTATCATTGGAGTCTGTTACTCTAGTTATGTGACTGAAGCATACATTAAGAAGCTAATTACATATCCACACACTGTTTTACTCCCTATACACTTGGATACTAACATTTGGAATTTACAATGAAAGGTGAGTGACTATACATTAGATCAAGTATTTCGGAACAGGTGTCTCCATCAGTGTTGATCTATTAAATGGTCAAGCAAACTCATCCTATTATTGTTTCATTTACTAATGTCAGGCCAATTTAATTGAAATTTTTCTTGGTCAACAGAGCATGGAGCAAAATAATGAAGAAAAGAAATGGTGTTAGGGTTCATTTTAGGTCATCACCAAAACAATAACAAAAGAATGTTTAAAAAAATGTATATATATATATATATTGTTTACTTTTGCAAAGTGGTAGTAGGCTCTTCCATTAAACAAGTAAAATAAACTGTCCTGACCATCTGCTGTTGTTGATGTTGTTTTATCTGTGAAATAAGGTCTCCTACGGTGAACCACCCAAAGTGTGTGAACAACAAATTTGATATTACATGTATGCTATCTTTTATTACCTTTGAAAGGAAGATATCTATCTTCAACATACATTTTAATTCAGCCAATAGAATTACTCACATGCATGTGTGCATACTGACTCCCTACAATTACAATGGTAATTTAAGGTAAAGTATGTACTCAGCCTAAGCAAGTCCATATGATATCTGACGTCATGCCTGAAAACAGACAGTAAGCTGGTGGGGTTACTTGATACTATACCATAACATGCAGCTTTTCTTCTTCTCTGCTTTAACTTGAAACACACACGTCAAACTCGCACAAATTCATTAAGGTTGCCATGTGTTTGGGCTAAGTTACAAAAGCCTTACAGTTGGGAAATGAAGACTGGAATTACCTGAGTGGCAAGATGAGGTATGTAATCAGCTGGGCTTCCCACAGAATACATTTTCTAAGAAAGAAAAAGGTTTTTTAAAACTATTTTGAACAAACATCGATACTTCTTTATCAATAAAGATCTGTGAGAAAACTGGGATTTTAGTGACTTTAAACCTTTTGAGAGATGCTATATTAAAAAGAGAAAAAGAATTGTACTCATTTGATATGCATGTGTATACTTAATCGTCTTAGTTTACATGTTAGTTTTTGATCCAGTGAAATGACATTGATCATTATAATTACTCATGCTACACTGTGATTGATTAAACCAGGGCCAGTTTGATGATCTATTTGAAGTAGGGATTAATACTTCTTAAGTGATTAAGAAACTTTGGGGATTTCTTTTCACAGACACATGTGTAAGCTAAGGTTTTAGATGATCACATTCTGAAATCTTTGATCTCTGTGGGTGCCCATGCACATCTCTCAAAAAATGTAGAGGACTAGATGAAACCCAATAGGCCATGAAATAATCAGTCTTCAGGCTAACATTGTTAGATATTTGAGAAATGCATTACAAGTACTTAGGATGTTGCTTCATCTGGGAACACATGTAACCATCAAGGGGCTCTCGATGTGTACACAAACAATTTGCAGATAGGCTCTGGAATGGACCTATCTTGAAAAGATGTCTGTAAATAAAATCAGAAGCTTGTTATAATAGAGAAGAAACTGTCATGAGGTGCTATTAATTTTGTGAATGCAATTGGCCAATTGGCCTGGATGTTCCTATTGCTTGTCTTACATCTTCAACAGGGACAGGGGTTATAAACTGACACTAAAACCAACCCTAGAAGATCAGAGAGAATCTGTGTTGATCAGACTTTGTAGATGTTAGGGAACTGAGTAGGACCCACGTGCAACTAATAATGATGTCTTCATCTTGTAAGGCTCCCCTGCCTGTTGGTTGAAGCGCCAACCCAGGCACCCTCCATTACAGATAATTTTATTAGCTTCATAGCTATCTGTAAACCTTGACAACACAGCACAGGTAGCCCAGCTTCAGAGGCTGCTGAGGAGTAGGGAGTTGATATGCTTGGTGTCAGAGTGGGATAACTTGGCCGTCTGCTCTTCTGTCGTCTGCTCTCTGGTCATCTTCTGCTCGTGTGCGTCATCTGTGACATAGTTGGGCTTCTATAATGCTCTTCATCTGCACTTCACTGTACTGGACTAGCCACTTAATGAGATGGAGATTAGGTGTCACACTGACAAGTAAGACATAATGGCCTACTAATACTTGGGATTAGCCCATTAACACTGATTGATGGTGTATCATCCTAACAACAAAATGTTACATCAGATGTATGGTCATGATGCAAATGAGTATATTTTAAAAAAAGAAAGAAAATTGTTTTATTTTTGTTTTTTTATACTTTAAGTTTAACAGGAAGTCTTAATGGAACATTTTTTTCAAGTAGATAAATTGTTTTCTACAGAATCAAGGCTGCTTAAGCTTCTCATTGTTTTCAATCATAACAAAGGATTATAATTAAAAATGAACACAGATGGTATCACCTGATAATAGAATAATGTCAAGAGTGCTCGACCAATTTAACCATACGCCATGTAGACACTGTCTTATCAGCATGCTGTAACAGTGTTGTGTGCTTTAAAGCATATGTTGTGGCCAGACATGCAGTGCTGTGATAGATATAGCACCTCTGGTGGCTCATGGCTTATCTGCACACAATCTGTGTGTGGGGGTTGAGGGGCTTCGGATACCTTGTACTACTTATGGTGGGACAAGTAGACCAGAGAGGCAATCACAGCTCCTGGTGGTAGAGGGTTTTAAAATCAGACCAGAAGTCAGGAATAATAACTGTTTTTGTTTATATTGTGATATCACATCTGACATTCTTTATCTAAGCATGGGATACATGTATTGTCATATATCAGATAAGCGTTCTAAATATTTGGTGAAGAATACAGCTGTTATTTAATACAATGCATATGTAGAGCATAATGTAATAGATTATTCTTCATATTTTGAAGTAAAAGCTTTGATATTTACGTCAAAATACATACATGTTTGCTTTTTAAAATATATATATATTGTGGATCAAACAATTTATTTTTTTGTTTTTAAACATTATGAGTGAGTGAGTTGGGTTTAACGCTGCTTTTAACAGTATTCCAGTTGTATCGTGGCGTGTCAGCTTAATGTGGGAGGAAAGCCCGAAGTGACGCATGTCTCAGACGTTTACCACTTCAGTGAAACCCACGAGCACGGGTATGGT